GTGGTTACGGGAGATAGTAATTATAGTACACATGCGGATGGCCGCTACGAACAATAAATATCGTGAAATCTGTGCATGTATCACCCCAATATCGGCATATCTCACACCATTTTACGGTTACCTATGAACAAGGATGATGAGTCTGCGTACAAAAAAGGAAGGCTGACGAAAGAGGCAGGGAGAGCAGTAAGTAGGCCTGACTGTCAGTTGTTCATGGTTACCGTCTAGAGCCGGGGTCGGCAACCTATGGCTCGCGAGTCATGTATGGCTCTTTTGATGATTGCGTCTGACTCTCTCGGAAACTTCAGACTTTGTGATTTTGGTTACTCTGTAGGGATCTAAGTAGTGGGTTGTGCTCGGATCACTAAAATCATCAGGCCAAATGCCAGGTTGTAATTTAAAAGACAAATCACCAGAAGGAGTGATTGTGTACAGAACTCTCAATTGCTGTCCCAGGTGATAGTGGCCACTGGCGAAGCCAGGGCTCGTGTTGACAGCGTCCAGCCAGACCTGAGAGAGCTTGAGACAGTGGTGGTAGCTGCTTCAGCAGGATTGCGGAGCAGGTTAAAGTGTTCTGTTATTGGTGTAGAGAGAGTAGACTCGTCTTTTTAAGTTCATCACCCATCCAACCGAGCATGCACTGAACACAGCCGACCTAATTTGCATTCCTGGTGTCTCCGTTTAAGATTTCGAAGAAGTCGCTGACCTGAAGGCCTCAGACATGTAGATGAATAAGTTCAAGTCATTCAATGAAGATTTGGAAAGAATCGCAGAGTTGGCGAGCAAGCACATGTGGACAGAAATGAAAAAAAAACTTAAACTCGAAGACTAGTTGATAATAAAAACTTGGAACGCGCTTTCTATCACATATCACACACTGCAGCATGTGAGTATTGCTCTATTGACCTTGTTTGGATCTACGTATGCATGTGAGCATTCATTCTCACATCCTAGATACATCAAGTCCACCCTACGACCAAGTCTAACGGATGAAAGCCTCGACGTTTGCATGAAGCTTAACTTCACCAACTACCAATCAGACTATAAAGCCATCAGCGAATCCATGTAGCACCAGAAGTCGCATTAACAATGAGTATTATAAGAACATTATTTAAAAGAATAAATGCAGAGGTTTATTATACTGACATTTAATTGAATTTGATCTTAAAATAAACTATATGGCTCTCACTGAATTTTATTTCCAAACATTTGCTTTCTTGGTTCTCTGAGTTAAAAAGTTGTCAACCCCTGGTCCAGGGCCATCACTGACTGAGGACGCAGTCCTGACTTGCGTGTTTGCCGCCTAAACCGGCCATCTGATAGATGCACTGGACCTGTCCTGTCCTTCTTGAAAACTCGAACGTTGAGTCGTGCTCTAGTTACCTTACTACTTTTTACTATCTGCTGTCCTCTTGACACTGTTATGGTTAGACCTCACAGAATTTCTTCTCCCCATCTAAAAAACTTTGAGACGCCAAAAGGAACCGTTCTACGAAGTAGGTCTACGTGAAAGATTAAAATGTGTAAACTTCCTAATAAGATGTGAGATTTCCAGGATGAAGGACCTTTTTGTTAGTCAGCTTTTTACTTCTTCTACATCTTCGTCTCCTCTCTCCTCGGACGAAATTTGGAAGAGTCTTAAGCGTCTCACTAGTCAACGCAATTCACTAGCACATGTTGATGCTGACTTAGACTTAGACCGTTTAAATGCAAACATCACCTACCGAAGCCTATCTTCCGACAAACGGTATTTCCTTATTACCAAGTGTCTTTGCTCCTGTATCTGTGGCAACAGTGATGAAACACCTTAAAAAGGTTTGAAGTTCAACAGCTGCCGGGCTAGATGGTGTCTCACCGTTTCTCCACAAATTGTGCTCTTTTCAGTTAGCCCATGCTTTGATACACCCCACCAACTTAGCCCTCGTGGAGTCCAGGATTCCTGATGACTGGCGTTCAGTGAGAATCACTCCTATCCCGAAAACAAATATCTACTTCTAGTCTCAAATACTTTCGTCCAGTTGCCTGTTCTTTTGCACTACTGAAACTTGCAGAATGAGTTGTCTTGGACATAATTACGCCGTTTTCCTCCACCTTTTTTCCGATCCCCTGCAAGTTGCATATAAGACTAAGCGTAGTAGACTAGACGCTGTTGCTCTGGTAGTCCATTCTGCTCTAAGAGACTTAGATAAGGGCTGTCGTGCATACGAATGTGCTTTTCTCGACTACTCCTCAGCCATTAATACAATCCCGCGCCATCTTCTTAATAAAACTACTGTATGCGGCTCTCCTGGCTGGGCTGTCTCTTGGCTTGGGGGCTATTTCACTTCCCGCACTTTATTCGTTCAGTGGGCAAGCGAAAATCCACCGTCCTTCCCAACAACTGTAGAGTTCTTCAAGGGTCTATATTATCCCTTCACCTCTTCTTCCTCCACACTGACGACCTACGGTCGCCAAACGGATGTTTTTACGTTGAATATGCTGATGATATGGTTATTGAGCATCCTCTCAAAAGTCAGATACATCTTCAAGTACTGACAGATGGCCTGGACTACGTCTCAGCATGGTAGTCAGCAAATGGCCTTCTACTAAACGACCAGAAGTCGATCCAGTGTGTTTTTCGATTGTGACCCTCTCCCAGTCCTGACGCCATAGACATTCTGCCCAACGAGGTATCCTCTGTCCGGTTTCTTGGTATTACTCTGGCATCTAACCTCTCACTTACTCTTTATATTGAAGGCCCTTTTATTAAAATTCGTCAACTTCTATTTTATACCTACCGTTTATATCGCACACCGCAACCCCTAATCTGGTGATTTATAGATGCCTTCATTCTTCCCCGCATTCTTTACTGCTCTCCAGTTATTTATCCAACCTGGTCATTTTTAAACGTATCCTCCAAATGCTCTCTTCAACTGCCGGTGTTTCCTATGTTTTTAGCTGATATTATAATACAGCGACAATTTAAAACGGTCAAGCAATTTGCTGATCGCGTTCTTAGTGAGGTCGCTCATACTCTCCACATTGAACTAATGGCTGCTAAGTCTTCCCGTACTATGCGCAGAAGCTTTCGTGTTTGAACTCAAGTAGGGCATCAGCCAATGCTTCTCAGCCAGAAGACATTAATCTATGCTGGGAATATGTACTAAAATAACCTCCGTCAACTTGGAATATATTTCGTCAGGTGTAAACAAGGTGAAACAATGTGTGAATACGGAAGCTTTTCTCACCAAACTAACAGTTTTGATTTCAAAAAAAGTCAAATTATTAAATCTGTGTGATTGTATGCCCTAAAAGCTGTAAAAACGTCTACAAGCAGTCCCTAATTTTAACATATCCCTATTCTATCTTTACATATGCATACCCGCC